AAATTGGTCTAGTTATATTTTGGCATGTCCTGATCCCTGTAGCATCATGAAGTCGATCGTCTAAGTAAGAAAAATAATCTGTCGGTTGAGCCTTATTTGGCTCTCAAGAGGTACACAATCACTTCTTGTTCAACAAAACCAGAATTACTGGACAAGCCGTGTTCACTGTTTTGTGTAGAGAGAGACTTCCAGAATTACACTTAAAGAACTAATGAATCTGCTGTACAGAGCATCTACGCCAAGGATGGCAAATATCCGGCTACTTACCGTGTAATCTCATTTATCGGTTGGAAACCTGGACCAGAAATGCCAAAACCAGCTAAGCGAGGGTCACAGAATGTGTCGTTTAAGGTCAGTGATGTCTGTTGTGAAAAGTCAAATTTAAATCGTGGCATATACCTTTTTAGGACTTGGGCAAAATCGTTGAAGATCCCGCGCTTATGCAAAACCTCAGTAAGAAGAAGAATTCTCATAAAGACGATTAGATCAAGATCACATTGTCACCTTTGCTGAGGAAATGCTGTTTAGTGTAGTTTTGATAATCTAATAGGACATCATAGATAAGAGTTCAGATTCTAGTTCTCAACATAGTTGGAATAATTTTATCCTCATAAAGTTCATCCTTTTGCTTGTCACTATTTGGCGTTAAGCGGTGAGGAAACTGTTCTATTACAGTGCATTTCTTAGATAACATCCGAATAGCTGTGCAGTTTCCAGAAGTTTCAAGTCTAGTGATTTCATGAGTGGAATCAGCAATCAAAACAATTCACAACTATAGTACCAACTCAAATTTGTCAATTTACGAACATCAACATGATTTCATTTTCACTCAGCCGAACAGTTGGATGCATCTGAAATTTTGATAGCTTGTCGACGGTCATTGTTGATGGATCACCGAGGACAAAGTTTAACGGCACCCGAAACGACGGCTTTCTGATAAAATGAGAGTGGTAAGTATGATCAAAACAACATGTTTTTGCAGAAAATGAAGAAAACCACAACTTGGTCATTGTTTACTCTTTAAATCGCTTACAACGTGATCGGCAAGATTTCAAAATATA